CATGAAGACAGAAGAAACCTCCTCTTGGCTGATCTGTTAGTTGTGGCTCTCAGGAGTTCCCCCATTGTCACGTCCGCCCCCTCTTTGATGTTGTCTTGGCAGCTCTTGTGTTGCCGTCCCCGCTTGCGTCCGCATTCAACACGGCCTTGCATGATGGTCTTGCAGAGTCTCTTATGTCGTGTGCCGTGGTCAAATGATGACATCTTCTGTCGTTTAATAATAGCGAGGAGAGACTCCTGTCGGCCCACGAGACGTTTGACCTTGCTCCGGACAGAGTCAATGTTTTCGTGCTTCCAGTAGGTGAGCCGCAGGAGATTTCTCAAACATCTTTTTTCGAACGCCTGGTTCCTTTTTTCCTGTCTCAGCTCGGAGTGTCCAAGACTCACATCCAAGTACTTGAACTTGGTCCGTAAGCGGATGTTGCTCATCCACATCCTTTCCAATCTGGTCATCGCTACGGTGGCTGTGGTGATCTGTATGCGGATCTCTTTATTGCTGGAGGCATCTTTTGACAGGGTTGGTCCCATGTATTTAAAGCTGACCACTTCAGCCAGTAGTTCGCCGTCCATATTGACACTAGCACTGGTATTGCTTGTGCTATTCACTATTACTTTGGATTTCTCTGTGTTGTTCCATTCCATATGCGCCGGCACTTTCAACGAGGTTGTTATTCATATCTTGCAGCTGACTGTTACTGCTGTTAGCGCCCGCCATAACGTCAATATAAGGCGTGCGATGGATAAATTGTCGTCTAAATTACGCTAAAATGCAAATAACACCGACATCTCATTTTAACAGATATATTTACTAAAATTACACAAAAAAATATCTTGAAATACTAAAGAGTAAATGTATTCAATAAAATCATCATTGGCTTCAACCAAGGCCTCCAGACGACTTCGGAATCTCATGCAACTCTTCTGGGCGGTCTCCTTGTTTAAGTTCTTGAATACTGCTATAATCCTTGCCTTCATTTCATCTTTTGCGTAAAAAGGAGTTTTGTTGGTCTCTCATTCGACTGCGACCCATACATAATCAAGTTGATTGCTGTCTGGGGAGTTAGGTGGCCAGGTATAAGGGGTGATTCTCCTGCTTGCTAGACATATGGTCTTCCAGCAGACACCATCTTGACCCAGTACAGCACTACCTCCTCATGGCATGTGTTGTACGCCCCCTTGTTGACTCTGAGGCTCTGTTGGAAGATGAATGGAGGCATAACGACGCCATCACTAGTGATCACTCCAAACACCTTCGTAATCACCATTAGATTCATCCAACTCTTTCCGACTCCTCTGCATTGTCCTTAGATTGACACACAAGCACTTTGAAATGTTTGTATTGGAGCTTTCGGTGCGAATGCCAAGAAGTACAGCATGCCGTTTTCTAAATTTCCAAATTATGTTATGGGGTTCTTTTTTCTCACATACGGCGTCCAAATGACCCTACTATACTGTGCAATTGACAAAATTAAATGCAAACAACGCGCATGCGCGAAATTAAATCTAGAAAATGGCGACAATTTACCCATCGCACACTGTAGACTAGAAACACAGGTTTCAGACCCGTCTATCACCAAATGTGATAAAATTTTTGCAGCCGTGAAGGGTTACAAGCATATTTCTCTCCAGAAACAGGTTGAAGTGTATAAAGTATGTCGAAATGTGCATAAGACATTTAAAAATCGTAGAAAATATTTAAAACATTTAATAATATATTCATTTTCTCGTATCCCACCCCCAATTCTGCCAAAGCTTTATAATTCAGACGTTTCTTATGTTCCAAAAAATATCACGTCAAAGGAAATAAACCTTTACTCTACCATACTGAAAATGTATACTGTAAGGACAATCCTTGTGTCCCAGTGATTCCAAGAGTGAAGCAGGCTGGATTTCCATCTCCTGCAGAGTCGCCCATGACGGTAAGGTTTGGGAGGAGAGACCAGACTGAACGCGACCAACCCCACGAAGACCCCAACGACGGTATAGGTAAAGATCTACGCTAACCCAACGGCCAAACAGGCGGAACGGTGCAGCGCCAGTCGGGCTGTCGAAACCACGGCGGACCTTGACAGACCAAGCATACGACCAGTAATTACGATGAATTAACGACATCCACCTGTAAAAAAGGATGAAGTAACTTCATTCACTTCTAAAAAAAAGATAAAAAAAAAAGAAAAAAGCCAACTCATAACAATATTAACTACGAACAAGGCCACAGTGTGCTAACCGTATTTAGAAATTAAAAACATCTCTACAACACACTAAAACATACACATAATGCACACACTCAATTAAGCTGATAAACTATATCATCTTTGATAATGGCTAAAGATATAGCCGAAAGCGCTCGGAACTATAAAACATTTGGACAGTTTTACAGATTCTTTATGTGTAAATAGCAGGAAACGCTGTGTTCTATAGTCTTGGATGGCAACTTGTCTAGGGAAAGGACAAATCTGAATTCAAAACCTTCGGAGGGTTTTTTGGGGACCTTGTGGCACGTAGTGCACCAAGTCTCTGTATTCGGCCCTTCAAAATGTGTGGTTGGTTCTGCATAAAGCCTACATCACTATAATGAAATCATATATGCTGGTGTCTGGGCTGTCGGTTCCTAGAAACTGAGCTGCTTGACGCTCATACGTCGAATACGATGGGAGAGTTTATCATATATATATATATATATATATATATATATATATATATATATACTAGTAGTAGAGCCCATGTTGCCAGAGGATGTAACAGTAAGAGATAGATCAAGTATCGACCATCATAAAGACTGAAAAATAAAATTGACAATGATTATTGTTTAAGGTTGACGGACACGCATGTCTTAATTAATTTTTTTTTTTTTTTTTTTTTTTACGAATTGGTCAAACCCAAACTCAAACAAAAACATTGTTTTCAGTCGTTATGAGTCTACTGATTGAATAGAATTTTATTATAAATAATTGTCTGGTAAATGGAATTTTTAAAGCATTCTGAATGTAAAAGTAAAGAAAAAAGTGTGCAAGACAATAAGAAACACTACCTGCCAAAAAAAAGTGATTTTGTTTAAATCGGTTGAAAAATGTAGGAAATCCGATCCCATATATAAACGAACACACACACACACACACACACACACACACACACACACACACACACACACACACACAAACAACCTGGGTATAACTCGATATGAGTTGTCCACCTTTCATTTTCACGATGTCTCTTAATCGTGTTTTCGAATTGATTTTGTACAAAAACAATTGTGTTTTCCAATTTTTGGCGCTGTCAGAACCACCGCAAGGTAATTTTACGTAGTTCTGTGAAGTTTTGTAAAAATCGGTTGAAAAATGTAGGAAATCCGATCCAATATATAAACGTACAGACACACCCACACACACAACCTGGGTTTTATAATAAGTATGATTTATTTACCTTTTCCTGCTTGAGATTGGGTTTCCGGTTCGGGAGTCGACTTCAACTCTATACATCCGGTCTACTTCAACTCTCTACTTCTAACGTCTCTGCCTGAATTTCGAATTTTTACTCAATAATTATTTTTTATTTTTCCTCCCTTCTCTTCAATGGGAGTAGATAGGTTCGCCTATCTTTTGGTCAACACTCTTCCCGAGGCTTTTGAACAGGAGTATAGGGTTATCCCTTGTTACTAGTTTAGGTTTGCGTTTCTCGATCCTTCTCAAGTGGACTTCAAGTATATATTCCTAATGTCTGCTGCTGAATTCTGAAATGTCATTCCCTAATTATTGTTTAAGTTTGGGTTTACTTCTGAAGTCAGTTTCAATTAGTCCCAAATTTATTTCCAAGTTATAAAAATTGTTATCCTACAAAAAAAATCCTCACAAAAATAACATAAAAATCGTCGAATACAATCACAGTAATAATAATTGGGAGCAAAAATTTTTGTAACATGAGCTATTGAAAGTTATAGAGTTGTTTCCCTTTAATTGAAAAAGAATATATACAAAAGAATACGTAAAAAAAAGCTAGAGAGAACAGAAATGTGTTCCTACAGTAGGATGATAAGAATACGATAGAGAGAGCGTATATGCAAAAGTTTTAACAAAAATGGAAATCAAAATAACATTCAGAGCCAGAAAGAGACAATGAACTTTCTGGGACACAGCTTAAGGAATATGAGAACTCGATACTCACAAGGCACATTGAAATCCAAAGGAAAAGCAGAAGACAGCGGACCATCTGTCTGACTAGCGTGTGCCAATGGGTAGTGGAACAGCGTGTGTAAGAGATGGCAAAGTAACACACATTGATTGACTAACTTTTTTTTTTTTGCTGATTATTTTAAAGACAGAAAATATTATCAAATTGTAAGAATTTTTCGAAAAAAATTGTGAAATTACTGATTTCATAGATATAATAAAGATTTACCAATTCAACTCCCTAGTTGTGGGAGAGATAAGTGGTAGATTCATAGCTTTGCTGGGTATATTTGCCAGGTATGCAAATATATCAAAAGCGACTTGAAATGGAACTCGGCTCTCCGATTTCTGATTCATTATCCATTACACCACCCGCACACCCGAGCTCACTGCACCAGCTATCCCCAAGTGATCACCCATCTAGATACTAACCAGTCTCGACGTTGCTTAACTCCGGTGATCGTACGAAGAATGTTTTGCACGCTGCTGATAAGATCTTAGTTCAGCTATTTGTCTGTGTTTTTGTCTAAAAATGGAAGTGTAATTTAGTCAAGTTGGCAAAGAGTGCAGAAAAATCATTCACGATAAAGACAGACAGGACAGGGCCGGAAAATAATGAGACATAAATATTTGTAACGTTAAAATAAATAAATAAATAAAATAAGTAAGTAAATTAAAAAAAAAATTGAAGGAAAATGAGTAGAATAGACTCGATATCGTAGGTAAACGGGAGTGACTTTCACTCATCCGGGTTATTCAAGTGTGACGCTTAGGTTTGATTTGATCTTGGATCAAGACTAAATGTCATATTCACCCCGATTGACTTTGATATCAGTTGCGTCTACGCACGGGATATACCAAACTGAACTCGGCTTATCTCTCTTTTCTTCTTCTTCTTCTTCTTCTTCTTCTCTCTCTCTCTCTCTCTCTCTCTCTCTCGCTCTCTCTCTCTCTTTTTTTCTCTGACCTGCTTCATATATACCTAATCAATCTTAATATCAACGTCATGTTCCTAGGCTCCCTCACTCATTTGATATGTCCGTGCGGGAGCAGGTGTTTCGCTCTATTTTTTTTTTTAAACTAAACTTGCAAAAACAAAACAAACAAAAAAATCTTATCCCCAATTGCAGAAAAAAAAAAGTATTATTACACTTTTTTTTCGCTTTTTTTTATATTTTCATATGAAAGAAGTTAACACAGGAGATGATACATTAAAGTTCATTATGTTTTCTAATATTCTCTGTCAGAGGTGATATGTGTAGACTGACATACATGATGTTAGCGAGAAAACTGAAAAAATAGACTGAGATAGGTTTAAACAGGCTGATATATATATATATATATATATATATATATATATATATATATATATATATAATAAAATAAGCTCAAACACAATTCATCAGACCTACAAATTCAGAATTTTTGAATTTGTAGGTCTGATGAATTGATCGTGATTACGATTCGAATGTAATTAAATTATAACCATGAAATATTAGTGTTTGAGCCTTTTATATTATATTCTTACTCTGTTCTGTACATTGAATTCTACCTGAATTCTAGCCTCTTTGGATTTATATATATATATATATATATATATATATATATATATATATATATAAAAAGACTATTATATTTATACGTTCTTTTTAAAGATACCAATATTTAAGTAAATGCTCTGTTTATAATAAACAGAATTAACAACATTTACTGGCTATATATATATATATATATATATATATATATATATATATATATATATATATATATATATAAAACAAAATATGCGTCTGTTTCTAGCCTTTTTTTTTTTTTTGGTAATGTCGGGGGTAATTAAAAAGTTATTAGTCAAAGTTGAATTAGACCAGGAAACAGAAATATTCAAATGTACTCAGTACACGTCCAAAGAAAAGAAAAAAAAAAGATTAACATGTAGAGATTTCGAATTTAAAAAAAAAATTAGGAAATCAGCCAATTACGCTACCTTGGTTTCAACATTTCGCTGTCTCCGGCCAATCAGCGTTAAATAATTTCCTAACGCTTTTAAGCATTAGGAAATTATATAGCTCGTATTTTTTTAAATAATATATCAGTCGGCTTTCGATCCCGGTTTGAAGCTATCGGATGTCTAGTCACGCTGATGATCTGTGATACAGTCTCTCTGTGGATGACAATATATATACACACACACACATAACCAAAAACTCAACTCTCTCTCTCTCTCTCTCTCTCTCTATATATATATATATATATATATATATATATATATATATATATATATATATATATATATATACACATATATATAAATATATATATATATATATATATATAAATACATACGTATATATATATATATGCATACATGCCTACATACATATATATATATATATATATATATATATATATATATATATATATATATATATATATAATGAACAATAAAAATATTAAAAATTGAAATCTTCAGGCACACTGGGTTGTATATTAATATTCCTTCGTTTTTTTTTTATTATTATTTCATTTCCATTCCTCGCCTAGTTTCGGCCAACATGGCCATCATCAGGAGAAAAATAATTTTCTGCTTGCTGGTAGCAGTGAACTACAAAAATGAATGGAGAAAATGAACTGTTATATATATACATATATATGAACTTTTATATATATATATATATATATATATATATATATATATAAATATCTGAAACGCGTCAAGCCCTAAACCTTTGTTATATATGTTTCCTCCGAATCTGTTCTTGATATATTATTTATGTCATGTACCTCCACCACGTACATGCAGAAACATATATATATATATATATATATATATATATATATATATATATATATATATATATATATATATATAACGGGAAATATTTCCATTACTATTAGAGATTAGGAGAACAGATACAACACTTTGATCCCAGCCAGATTGCTATGGAGTGATGCAAATCTTAACTGAAGTAACACTGGCTGCTCGGTCAATGAATGCTGTATATTTCTTTATCAGTATTAAACATAAGAGAACAGATACAACACTTTGATCCCATCCCGATTGCTATGGAGTCAAGAAAATTTTAACTGAAATAAGACTGGCTGCTCGGTCAATGAATTCCGTATGGTTCCTTATAAGGAAACGGGTAATATTACCATTTAAGATGCGATAACACATACTACAATTACAAACAGATGGCCTGCTAGTGACGTAAGGCGTAACTCGTTTTGTATTGGCTGTTTGGTCAATGAATACCGAATATTTCCTTATAAGGAAATGGCTGATAATTTCATTACCATCACCCTTGCACCGAGTGTCAGTACTACTGTCTTGACAATGCCAAACTGTTTCGTGTTATTTATGAAGACAGGAGATGAATAAAGGCTTCACACTCTTTCACTTGAAATGTTCGGAAGACACTCCCCGTTATTACTGAAAAGAGTTTTAACTGCTACTCGATGAGAGAAATATATATTCCCCCCAAAATATTTTAACAGAAAGATTTTATTAAATTTCAACCTAAAATAACACTGGCCGTTCGGTCAATTAATTCGGAATATTTCTTTATAAGGAGACGGAAAATATTAGCAGTACCATTAGAGATGAAAAAACCAAATACTTCACTTTGATCCCAGGTTGACCGCCTGGGAAGAAATAAAAGAATAACTGTAAGAACACTTGCTGGTCTGTAAATGAATGCCGAAACTATCCTTAGAAGAAAACTGTTGATATAACTGTTATAGTGGAACATTCCTATTCTATTGTTAATAGACTCTCCCACCTATAATATATAGGAGTAGTAGCAGTCACTCAGGAAGTTGGTCAGTCGACTGGCTGATCGGTTGAACTGCCTTCGGGCGGGGAGGAACCCGAAAGAGGCTACGCCGAAGGGCGGAGTCTCGTTCGGGGAGGTAAACCGGCCCTGAACCAGTTTATACGGGTGCAATGGGTGTTACAGATTTTTGTGTATATGTATGTATATATAACTAGTCAGTTCGTCCCAATGCCTTCACTCGTTTTATAACGCACAAATAGAAATTCAATCCGTCGTGTATAAAGGCGGCCATTTTGTTTGCTCTACCCGAATGTCCAGTGCCAGCTTGTCAGGCGAAGAGAAACAGAAGGACGAACTACGCTCTGCTACTTTTACCAAAATATCCACTGCTAACCTGAACAACGCTTTCCTACTGTCTTCGAAATATTCACTGTTAACCTCTGGATTCTATACTCGAAGACGACCGTCATGATGAATAACAATGGGCATATTTTTGGCCGAGCCCACGGGCTCGGAGATCCCACGTTAAACCGGCTTTGTGCCACATGATGCCCTCGTGGCAGGGTGACTAAATATCGTTGGTCAGTCAGTCGACTGGCTGATCGGTTGAACTCTCTGCCTTCGCGCGGGGAGGAACCCGAAAGAGGCTACGCCGAAGGCCGGATTCTCTTTCGGGGAGGTAAACCGACCCTGAACCCATAATTTCTTTACATTTATATTCCAGATAATGTATATAAATCTAAAAGACATGTCTCTGTAGCTAATCAGTATTTCATTGATTAATGCATTCGTTTTCTACGGTTTATCGACCTTTTGCAGGTTATTTAAAGCCAGAGAATATTTTTTAAATTGTAAGAATTATTTTTTTTTTTAGATAATAATGATTTAGTCTTACTAATTAACCCATAGCTGAGGGGTGAATAGGTGGAGCCATACGTTTCCAAATGGTAATTGCGCGTAATTGAATATATAAAAAAAAACGATTAAAAATTCTGAGCCATTATCCATTACATCACACGCACATGCATGCTTGCAGCACCTGGTATTCTCAAGCGGTCACCCAGCTAGATACTGACCAGGCTCGCCTTTGCTTAATTTTGATGATCGTATGGGACCCGGTATTTCAACGTTATACGATCGTAAAAGCCGATTAGTAACCATAAGGTTTTCAAGAAGATGCAAGCAGAAAGGTAAGTTATAATTAACACCGGGAAGAGGCAGCTGAAATTTCTAGAACACATACTGAGAAAGGAGGGCTTGGTAAATCTGTCACTCACATGGTGGATAGAAGGGAAAATGGACAACAGAAAGCAACGCGTGACATACTTAACGGACTTAAGCATGTGTGTAGTAGAACAAGGACTGCGAGAAATAAGAAAAAATTTAAGTTTATTCAGAGCTACAAGGGACATGATGAAGTGGAGAGCCATGATCGTATTCGTCTTGAAGGGACACGGCACATAAAAGGAGTAGCCATTTGGATCACTCGCAAATGAAAGCTTACAGTACTTGGTATTTTCAAGTGGTCATCCATCTAGGTACTGAGTAGGCTCGCCGCAGCTTAACCTCTGTGATCGTACAGGAACCGACATTTCAAAGTTATGTGGTCGTAATGCCTTTAGACCACACTCACATCCAAGATTATAGTACTTGTTATTCTCAAGCGGTCGCCCATCCAGGTACTGACTAGGCTCGCAGTTGCTTAACTTCGATGATCGAAGGGAAACTCTGAAAACACCGAAGAAGTTAAGATGTAAATACTTGAGAGAACATTATGAAGGATAATAAAAATATAAAAAAAAGGAAGTTGGGGAGTGTCATGATCACCTTCGTCTTGAATAAGCACTGCATATAAAAGAAGTACGACAGTTGTTAAACAGGTGGTTGTAAAATAAGAAGTTAATCTGTTTTTTAGATTCTTGAAAAATTAACGGCCACAGCAGCTGTGCATTTTTAACCGAGTCGCTTCGGCCCCAGCCTCGAAGACTCCAGATCTAGTGCCTCCCTTAATTTTGACTCTTATCGCGCAGTGTGTCATCAAAAATTAGCATCAGGGTCCCTCCTCATTAGAAAGAACATTGCCACGGACAAGCGATGTCTGGGTAGTCACAGACTTTTTTAACACAGTGTCTGCTAGTCCATCGCAATCATTAAACACAATTTCTATCAAACACTGATAAGAAAAATGCATACATATAGAAAGATTGGCATTTTGATAGAGACAGCTTCTTTTTAAATGGAGGGTCAACCACGCAATGGTATAAATAAACAAAATGATAAGACAATCAAATAAAACGTTTTGCCATTGATATAAACCAAGTAAACACGCGCGCACACGCGCACACACACACACACACACACACACACACACACACACATATATATATATATATATATATATATATATATATATTTTAGTGTGTGTTAATTTAGATTTGTTTGAGATGTTTTGGGTGGACAGGATGTTAGAAGAATCGTGTTTCTTTGGTATATATATTTTGGGAATCTTAAGAAAGGCCCTTTAAAAATAATATTGCTTTGGTGTTTGATTAAACGTTTGACGATGAACACACGCCCCCGAAAAAATTCAGTCGTGTTTTTTTTTTGTTTTTTTTTTTATCTTTTATTTTTTTTTTTTTTTAGCTTCAGCTTTGGATAGCGCAAGTTCAGAAAGTAGCGTGGTAAGATTGTATTACGCCAAACTGGATAAGTCTTTTTACAAGCCGGGGAAATCAGTGCCATCCGGACGTCTAGCTAACACTGCCGAGTGGTGATACAACGAAACAGTCTGCCTGTCGATGTCTCTCTCTCTCTCTCTCTCTCTCTCTCTCTTTTCCTATTCATAGATATATATATAATCTCTCTCTCTCTCTCTCTCTCTCTCTCTATATATATATATATATATATATATATATATATATATATATATATATATATATATATGAAAAAAAATATATACGGAAAAAACAAACAAAATCCTTATATACAATTAAGCTGTTTTGAATGTTAATATGTCAACGAATCGGACGAAGATGGTCTAATAAACCATCTTCAGGACATATTCATAAATTAAACATTATCAATACAACAATTGTAAAGACGATGTACATTTTGCATGTTTTTTCCATATATATTTTTCTTCATACTGTCGGATCTATATCCATATATTTGATTATATATATATATATATATATATATATAGAGAGAGAGAGAGAGAGTCATCCACAGAGAGACTGACTGTTTTGCTGTACCACAAATCGTCGGTGTGGCTAGAAGGTCCGGTTTCCTATAACTAGGATCGAAACCCGACTGAATTGGCGTTAGTCGGAGAATCTACCGCTACCTATTGGCGCACTCTAGGGATGAAAGGTGAATTTAAGCATATTTATTTTTACATAAACACACCAGTGACTGAGAGAACTCGATTCGTTTTATCGAAGAGTATTGCATTAGTAGCAGTAATTGTCACTGTTTACAAACTCACACTTTCCCCAGAGAGCTCAACGAAATAATTTTTCAGGAGCATATATATTGTCATATAGACTGTTTCCTGCTGCATCAAACTCATCTGTGTGACTAGACGTCCGATTGCCTCTTGCTTCAGTCAGAGAATCTATCCTAAACCGTTGGCACACAGCAGGGATGAAGGTGAATTAAAGCATATATATATATATATATATATATATATATATATATATATATATATATATATATATATATACATTTGTCTGTCGCGATGGATATATATTAAAAAATTCTTTTATATATATATATATATATATATATATATATATATAAAAGAACATATATATATATATATATATATATATATATATATATATATATGTATATGTGCGTGTGTGTGTAAAAAAGATTTTTTTCATATATATCCATCGCGACAGAGAAATTGCTAGGTTTTGAAACTAAGACTCAAATCTTAAATTAAACTTAAAATTTAAAGTTCAGTTCCTTTGTCAAGCGATACTGGGAATAAGCTTCGAAAATATTGATTTACTCTATTTATAAAACAAACAGATTATAAAACGAACAGTACTATATATTTTAAGTTGGTGGTTAGTGGGGTGAGTGTAATGAGAATTGAGGATATTTTTGTTCTGAAAAAAAAAAAATTATTAAATCAAAGAAATGAAATAACAGTTTTTTTTCTGAATATTTTCCTTGAAAAATTATTAATTATTCAAAAAAATAAATAATTTACTTATTTATATCTATTATTTGATCATAAATAAAATAATTTATAAATGCGTAATTAAATTACAATGTTAATTTTACAATACCATATATAGTCAACTAGTAAATAAAATAAATATAGTATTTTAAATCTTTATAATAAAATATAAATATAATTATTACTTAATTATATCTGAATATCCCTTTAAGAACATCTCGATGTAGTATTAGATAAGAAGAAAATAAATAAGAAAATAAATAAAAATGTAGTTATGTAACTTTAAATAAATAAAAATAAAACACTAATGACAGGACTGCTTGAAAGGAAGTTAGTGTGAACAGACAGAAATCTCAAAAACACCCACCTGACCTTTATCGACTTTAAATTTACCACATAAAAATACACTTGCTTTCTTCACTCGTAAAAATGCCAACGCCCCCTTAATAAAATCTCCACAATTCTCATTTCCTATTTTGGTAATGCCATATAGTATAGCTGAAAGCGCTTTTTTATTTGTTATACATGTTTGGTGTGTTTGATCGGGTTAATTCTTAAATAAAAACGCCTTTATCCACTGCGCCATATGTCTTTGGAGAGAGGAATCAACAGGAGATAACTGATAACTGACATCTATTAGACATGGCACATGGAACTGAAACAGTCTACCCCTAGTAGAGCGAAATAAAGGGTTCAGTTCGACATTCCAACCACCTGAAGAAGGCCGGAGCGTACAACGGCCGAAACATTGTAATAAATATGACAACAAAGATGAGGACAATAGTCCGAATAATGTAAATAGTGTACATAATACCTCATCTCAGAAATACAGACAGATACTAAAGGGCCGAAACGTTTTAATAAATATGGCGACAAAGATGTGGACAATAGTCCGAATAATGTAAATAGTGTATATAATACCTCATCTCAGATATATAGGTAATTATGACAGGTCTCCAATTTGTATTTATTTTCCATTTTTCTTGAATTTTCACCTCTTTTGCAAATTATCCATTACTGTACACAATTAGGTTACAATGTAATTTGTATTTTATATCTTTTTAATCGAATTTGCCCCAAGGAAGGCAGTAAAGCCACTAAGACACAAGGAGTTATTGGGTGTGAAAGATTTACAAAACAGAAATATTATTAACGAGCGAGAACAATAGAATCTATAAGTCAGTAGCATTTATATATTATTAACTGTACCTTTTGAAAAATGAGATGTACCAGAGTGAGGCTATCATGGATTCGGGAGTGGGGGGATTAAGACCTTTGCACCTTGATCCAGCACTCTACGCGTTTCTACAATGGAATATCGGTTTCTACGAGGAAGAGTTGTTTGAAATTCAGAGTTTTTCTTCTAGAATTGTTCCTTTTGTGACGTGTACGGGTGGCCGTTAATGATGAAGGACAATTCAAGACTTTCATGTTAAATAAACATTATTTAATCACAACTACAAATAAATACGTAACACAAACAAAAGAAATAAGAGTCAGTCAAACTTATTAATAAATTCAGTAAATAACTTCTTTGTGGCGTGACTCTAATTAACGTCCAAGAGTCACTCTATAATAGGTTCCTAAGCTTTTTCGCAGGAAAACACATAGCGTAATGAAAAAGGCCACAAACTTAACGAAAATAAATTTTTATCGTCAAAATGTTTATGTTATTATTAAGATGAAAGACCAAAGTATTTTTAAATTATTTTTTGAAATTTTTTAATCTTTTCTAACACGTTCAAAATTCTGGTTAAATTTTTCTTTTGTTTACGTCATCGCGGTGGCAGAAAATAACATTATTTTTTGCGCTTTTATCCGGTGAAAACACATTGATTTAGAAATTCTTGTAAAAATCAAGTAATTGTCCGATTTTAATGAAATTTTCAGGACTTATTGACAAATGAATTAAATTATTTTTGAAATGTTTTTGTTTTAGAAAAATTTGGTA